TAAAAATGATCCAGTAAAGAGCGCTTGGCTTCTCGGACTTGACAGTAAACAACAGCTTTTGGGATGGTGTTCTGGAGGGTTTCGCTCACCATTCCAGTGTACGCAGAAACATTTAAGCTTATTCTTCTGAAGTGTCCTTCTGTGTACCTATCAGCTGTAGAAACAGTTGGGTTTCCTACCTTGTCAACTTCCTGTGGCAGTTTCCGGAAGAAATCCACCGTCAGGTATGAAGATTCCATGTCTACCATTCGCAATATAGTCTTTCGACTATCGTCACGAAACCTTTCTAATGCTTCATTTGCTGCATTTGATATATCTGTTTGAAGAGTTGGAAACCGCCTCAATTCCTGCATCCACAAATATCAGTTATATATTCATTGAAAGGAAAATTAGAAATGGTTAATCTTCGGCATAATTGAAGCATGTGCTCCATCTCAATTAAAAGCTTGAGCTGATAGTTGAATTGCACATCAATGGCTATATACTCGCCCCCTCACGTATGCGGTGAGTTCCAAGTCCGTAGTAAGCCTGATACCAAATGCATGTGCTCCATCTCAACTAAAAGCCTAAGCTGATAGTTAAATTGCACATCAATGGCTATATGCTCAACATGCATCACAATTCATAAACCTGAGTTTCTCCTACTGACTTCCTCACAAGCTCCTTCAAGATGAAGTGGACCTGCATGGCAAATTCACAATCCTAATCAAAAGCTCTACGGATAGCATTGCAATCTTTTATGTTATTCAATGCATCCACAGCAATAACAAAACTAACAATAACACTCACCGCATCCACTGCAGCTTCTGCTGGACCTCTGAAATAATTAAGGGCACCATCTATGAGGCGCCTATAGCCTTGTTCTGGTGCTATCAAATGAGGTTGGTAGCCATCAGCCTCAGTGACAACTTTCTTAACATTTTGCAGTGAGAGATGGCGATCCAATGGAAGTTTCCTAAAAGCTGCCGGGAGCTGGTAGTCAAAAACTCCATAAATCCGATCTCCTCCAGGCCGCCTATAAAGTAGATAATGACAATATAAACAATGGAGGAGTTGCATCCCAAGAGGCCAAGATGGAGCCAATAGTGCGTGAAATTTAATATGGTTACTATTGGTGTATCAGTATTATGAATTTGGTTTAAGGGAAAAAGGTAAACATTTACCCTCCTTCAAGATGCTCCTTAAATACCCGATCAAATGCACGGCAGAGTTCCAAAATAGTATATAACTGGGCCTATAATTTGAACAAAAAGTAAATACTTCGAACTAGAGCCAAAACCTAGAACGGGTACATGTAGAAAATGGAAAACATTCTCACCCCGGCATCAACAGTGACAGGTCTGCCGAGATGACTCAACTCAGTTTCAAGTTCATCAATGCTTCTATTAATCAGAGACAATATAGCTGGTATGCGAGCCTTAATCACAGATTCTAGGTGCTGCAAAAACATGATTGAAAATTACGACAGTTGGGTATCCATCTCTTTACACAATGGATTATTATTTCATGTTTTAAGCTACAAAAGTAACAGTATGCATGCCTTTGAAAGCAGTTTTGCAAGATACTCTGATCCCATTCTGCTGGCCAAGTGTCTGTACTCGGGACTTCTAGCAAAAAATTCTCGCTCATTATGCCTTGCAACCATCATATCAACATTTCTGTTAATATCAGCCTGTGAACGATTCACAATTCCAACCCAAGGATTTTGAAGCCGATAAGATCTTCCTTCAAGAACCTTCATTATTACCCATACACACCGTGAAAATGAGAAATAAAAAAAGCAGACAGACCATGCACGCACAGTGGTAGAGATAGAAAGGGACAGTCCTTTATCAGGCAGAAGGTTGACATCACACAACAGACCTTCCCCCCAAAAAAAAAATAAAAAATGAAAAGCTTACATCTAATGCATTTGTACCCTTGTCCATCAAATCAATCTTCGTTAACACACCAATTGTACGTTCACCTGCATGAGAAACAAGTAATTTCACATTGGTATACGGATTGATGAAACATATAAGTATACAATAAAATAAGCACAACGTACAAGCTAATACCTCAGCGGATTACACCAACAAATTTCCTATTCCTATTAGAATCCTACTCCCATTGGCATTTATATACTTTATTATATATAAAAACATCACATAAATGAATCTCTAACCATACTAGAAAAGCATAAAATACCTGATGGGTCAACTTCTCGAGCTATCTTAATAGCATCAGATGTTGCAACATCTTGATTGGCTGGGGTTATGGCTAAGATGATGCAGTTTGGCTTCAAACAAAGGATGAGAAATGTCAAGCAGTTGGTATATGAAAGTTTCATAGGATGTGGAGGCAGTTATCACTAGAATGGTTGAAACTCAAAAAATAGGTGGCAAAAGACATTAACTTATTATAAGTCAAATTTTGTTTCATCAGTAATCATAGCAAATTAGCAATTCTATGGGTAAAAATGTAAAATGTTACTTTATTACTTAAAATAAAAAACATAAAGCTAACTTAAATAAATAAATAAATGACCCTAACATTTGTTATGGAATGTACAAGAAATATGGAACCTATATATATTAGATAGCTTGGAGATTTATAGGGATTTGAGTAAATAGTCATATGAAAATTTGTTTCCTTATTAGAAATCTTCTGGCATGTATTTATAGGGCTGTGAGTTGTGACAATACCTTCTCAACATATGATCGAACCATGTCTTCAATTTCCCGAACAATACTTTCGGGCTGCCCCTCTGCCAAGAATAGTTATGGATAATTTTAAAAAAAAATGGAAAATGAATAAAGAGGATATATTGGCAAACTAAGCAAAAAAGAAACATACCTACAGCAACCTTAGTCAGCCCAGGTAAATCTACCAATGTCAAGTTAACAACTGCCAAGTAAAAATAAAACATGAAAAATAGTCCAAGACAACAAGAACAGCAAAGCAAATGGATAAAATCATCATAAATTTATAGACTGTAGCAAAGCATGCAGAACATTTTAAGACTCAGTAAACACACACCATTTGGAGAGTAAATGCTAAGATTAATAGGAAGAGGAGAGATCTGCTTTGTCTTTCCAGTAACTCTGTCAGTTTCATCTTGGATCTCCTTTCTGACCAAAGCTTCATAACAAAGCAAAAGAAAGTGAAAATAATTAGATAAATAAATTAAACAACAGATGGGTGCTCTTTTGTGTGTGTCTATTTGTTTACTGAATTACACAGAGCTGTGGCTTCCAAACTCAAAGTCATGGTAATGTAGAACAAATATTTAAGAGTAAAGGTCAACCCCAGTGCACAATTATTCCTTTTGTCAGTGCAATTATCATAATATCAGGCAAGATACAAGCAAAAACTTACAAAAATCTGTAAATCTTCTATTTCCAGAATGAAGGAACTGTGCATACTCCTGTTGTCCTGGCTCTATCTTGTAAAGTTGCAAAACAAGTGGCCTTCTTGTCACAATTCCTACCAAAAAGAGCATTGAAATGAAAAAAGTAGAAGAAAACAGAGTGTGGCTTCATATCAAGTACTCTTTATTATTCATTGTTCAATTTAACATATCAACAAGGAGAAGCAGAGCCTCTGCGGCTATGGTTAAGAATTAATTTAGAATAGCAGAACTTGATTGTGTCAATAATTTTCTACTAAATACACAAATAAAATGATTCGCAAAATTCTGCCGATTAGTATACTGCGTGTTCTGCTGTTACTCCATTTGATCAATTATTCAAAATCATAATGATTAAAGCACTAGAAAATGACAAAACACTTTCAAAATTTCAAAACCTGAAAAAAAGTTCAAATCACTAAAATTCATTACCTGATCCTCTAGGAAGAAAATCACGCCCCACAATACTCTCCAACACCGACGACTTCCCGGAACTCTACATCAAACCGCACAACCACTCATCAATTGCACCAGCATTAGCAGAATCGGCATAAGAACACAACCGGCTGCTCAATCAACACATGCATACATACATACGCACTCACACAAACCAGATACGTATATTCACACACATACACCAAACACCAGGCAACATACAATTGATACAAACACAAAACAACTCAATCACACAGAGAAACAGAGGGAGATGAAGAGTGATGAGTACTTGGCCGCCGAGGACGACGATGGTAGGGAGAGCGTCCCAGAGAGTAGGCAAACTCCGATCATCGCCATAGTCGCCGAGGATCGTACACGCCTTCTGAATCCTGTTGACAAGCGCAATCAAACCTTCCATTCCGCCGGTTCGAGGCAGCGCTCTCTCCTTCTTCGAGACGAAGCTAACGAGTATCGGCAGGAGTAGGAGGAAGAGAAGTAGTAGAAGTGGCGAAGCAGAGGCGGAGAAGGGGAGAGTGGGAGTTGTAACGGAATCTAATTTTATCAAATTATTATAATTATTATTATTATTATTGTGATAATTAGGAATTATTATTAAATGTGTTTTGATATTTGGGGATTGTTGTTGTTGTTGGGTTGGAGTTGGCGGAAGGAGTGCGCCACGTGAACACGTCTGGGGAGGGGTCATGTTTCCTTCGTGGGATGAAGAGATGTTTGAATTGTTGGTTTTGAAAATATGAGAGAGGCGCGCGGGATCTTTTTCGTAACTTCCTAGGAGATGATGGATGACTTATAAATGTGTCCAACATCTGTAACCGTCTTCTGCATTCATGATTTTTTTTCACCCAAATTATTACTCCGTAGAATCTATTATGCATTTCGTCTATTTGACATGTAGATTACACTGCCGTTTCACCGTTTGATTTTTAAAAAGTGATTGCTTTTTGCTTTTTTGAACCCACTTGCACGACGTAAAAAAACACAAAAGTTTATCCAACTCAAAGGGATAGAAACTACAATTTAGAGTTAACTAGTAGTTGCACTCGTGTGATGCACGGCTATATATATAATTTATATTATATTCAGTATAATATAATAAGATGAAAAAATATACATTTCAAAACTTAATAAAATTGAAATGATGAATTTATAAATTTTATTAGACATTGTTGAAGACTCTTTTTGTTGAACCCATGCGATGCACGGCTACCTATATAGTACATATAATATTCCGTATAATATAATAAGAAAAAGAAATATATCATTTAAAAGCTTACTAAATTTGAAATAATAAATTCTGGAATGTTATTACACATTGTTGAAGACTTCGTTGTACACAACATTTTTAGTCGTACTAAGATATGGTACATTTTCTCCACAAATCAAAATTTTCAAACCCCTTGGGTTACTAACTCTTGAAACAGCTACGTACAATTGTCCATGGTTAAAGACATGTCTTTTCAACAGCAATCCCACTTTAGAAAGTGTTTGTCCTTGACTTTTGTTGATTGTCATGGCATAGGATGACATCAACGGGAATTGCTTCCGTTGAAATTTGAAAGGCAATCTTGGATCTGACGGTGTAAGTGACATTCTAGGAAGTAATACTCTTGTTCCTGCATTTGTACCGCACGTGATCTTGCCTTCCAACACGTGATCAGCTAACCTAGTAACAATCAACCTTGTACCGTTGCATAATCCTAGTGTGTGATCAATATTTCTCAAGAGCATAACAAGTGACCCAACTTTAAATGTCAAAGCATGATTTGGTACTCCAGAACATCTCAGGCCATTCAAGAATTCGGGAGTGTGCAAATCTGCTAACATATCAACATTTGAATTTGACTTACAAACAGAATCACAACTCAAGTAAGTCTTACTCTCAATCGGATTATGATCATTCATGTATTGGTTAATGCTATCTACCACATCCAATGTTATAGCCAAAATAGCACTATCATTAAGATATGACAGATCGCCAATCCCTAGTCTAAAATGAGGGAAGGTGCTATCAACAATTGTAGCAATAGGGTCATCCTCGCACTTCAGCAATAAATGTTCTGGAGCTGTAATATCTGACTCACCATCACGTGGATTACCAACAGTTCTGTCACCTATATTAGCTATCCATTTTGCAAACTCCTCGATCTCTTTACCCTCAATTTGTGATTGTACACTTCTTAGGCGCAGAGTCTTAGTTAGCCTAAATACTTTGCAGGATTTCCAAAGATATGAGGAACTAATGCTCGCCCGGACAATATCCTGTCTGGTACCCTTCGAAATTACTGGTAGAATCTGCCTGGAATCGCCACCAAAAACAACTGTTTTACCACCAAATGTCATTTCATAACTCCTTGGATTTTTGAAGCGCAACAAATCCCTCATAGTTCGATCTACGGCTTCAAAACAAAATTTGTGCATCATTGGAGCTTCATCCCATATTATCAACCTGCTTTGCACAATAAGCTCTGCTAATGGACTGCCGTGACTTATGTTGCAAATGGAATCTTCATTAATAAATATCGGTATGGCAAACCATCAATGGTGTAGTTCTTCCACCTGGTAATAAAAGCGAAGCTATGCCGCTAGATGCAACATTTAACACTATTTAACTCTGAGACCTTAAAGCGGAGGACAATGCTCGCCACAAAAACGTCTTACCAGTCCCTCCATAACCATAAACGAAGAATAACCCGCCAACTTGGAGATCAATATCGGTTAACACCTCATTGTATATGACTTTTTGCTCTTCGGTTAACTGCCTTACCAATTCCTGGTTCTCTTTCTCCTGATCCACAGAGTCACATGATAATTCTTCTTGTATAAACCTGTTTGATATAACATTTAAGGTCGCAAAATTTGTCGTAGGCATTTCAGGATAGTCCTTCAAACTCTTACCATGAATAGATAACAGCTTTTCAATATCAACTAAAGCAAAGCTCATCTTGTGAGATTCGGTCAACACAAAATCTGCATAAGTTTATATAAAATATACTAATTAAGATGCCTACGTTAAAGTTCACTTTATATTTTGTTAGCAATATAACAAAAATAATCTGTAGAATGTATGTGTACCTCTATTGTGCAATTGTTTGCGGACCTAGAATTGTGCATCATCAGACAATTGTGGCCACACAGCATTCCAAACTGTTTCCGGTTTACCCATGCAACTGCTCATTAGCAATGTAACAAATAATCTCCTCAACTGATCTCCTGACGCCCAATGACTGGCTTCATCTATTGCATCAACATATTCGTTATCATCATCAACTAAACCTCTTGCATAACACGCATTTCGAAATGAGTCATAGTGGACACCGTTTACAGTCCTGGTATCTGCATAACTTGCAGGGCCACGTATTTTATTCAACAAACACCTCAAATAAAAGATTTCTCCAGTAGCTGGGGTGACATAGAAGATCCTTCCGATTGAGAACCCTTTTTTCGTGGCTGCCATTTTCTAAGGTCTTTCTTCGAAACGAATCTTGTTAGCATCTCAACATAAGTAAGCTCTCTTGCATCTGGGAATGTCTTATTCGCCTCAAACCATTCCAATAACATGCAATGTGCTATAGTGGGTCTATTAACAATGTTCTCAACAGGATCATCATCTGCAAAGACCACACTCTGTTGATTAGGAAGGTGAAAGCTTAACCTTTCCACTGAAGGAGCCCTAAGCTGTATATCAAAATCAAACAAACGCCAAACCACTTCACATGGGGATATGTACCTACAGTCATAGTACATATTAATCTCATCTATGACTTTTCCATTCTCTTCATCATTGCTTGTTTTGTAGAATTCGGCTGTTACCCGATCATGACCCTTGTTAACATACTTGAACAGGTACTTGATTGAGCGTGACTGGTTGCACCACTCGACATTTATATGAGCCTTGTACTTAAGTACTAAATGTCTATTGTGAGTTACCACATATCTGTTGTCCAACACGATCCCGTTCGTTGTAACTATACTGCCGTTGTCTCTCCGTCTATATACCGGATAACCATCGTCATTAAATGTAGAACACTCAACAAATCTCTTAGGAAAATGTTTTGAGCATCGTGCATTTACATACATGGAAAATTGCTCCTTGCTTTTCCACATGGACCATGCATCATAAATTCCTCTACAGCTTTGTAATATTCTACATCTGTATTTTCATCTAGTATCTCAGCGGAAATGATTTTGTCTAGAGTAACCACTTGACTAACTTCTTTATTTTTCTCCAAAAAAAGCAATATATGAGCATGCGGAAGACCTCGCTTTTGGAACTCAATTGTATATATAACTGCAACATAATCGCAATAACCAGATAAAAGGAAGGTAATTTATGCTAATTGTAAAGACATTGATGTAAAACTAAACAAAAAGATTACCTCCCGCCACATAGCCAAAAATTTTATTCTTTCGACAATCAGCTATCAAGGAATCCAACTTCATCTTGAATAAACGGCAAATTATGTCAGGTCGGTCTTCTGCTTTCAACCTTCGATCTTTAAAAAAACGTTGGACCTCCGGCCACTTTGGGTTGCATGTAAACGTTATAAATAAATCTGGATATCCAATCCATCTACATATTGCCATGGCATCTTGGTAGTTTTGTATCATGTATCGAGCACCGCTTGTAAAACTTGACGGTAGTATTATTCTTCGACCTTGTGCTGCGGGGTTGACTCCACCCCTTGTTAAAGCGTCAGTCAACCCACTGTATGTTTCACACCTTAGGCTTTTTGGTGTGTCCTGATATAAATGAGTCTTCCTGACTCAACCATTGTGTGTATCCATCGACAACGAACTGTTAGAACAACCGCTTTGCAAATAGAATGATACTCGGAACAGAATTTCTAGACTGAATGCGATAGCAAAAAAACGCACTGGATCCAAATATATATATATATATATATATAAAATAAACATAATAATAATAATAATAATAATAATAAAAGGGAAATGAAGGCTCTAGAAGTTCATCCGCCATTCTCTTGCATCTCACTTACCACTCTCCGGACAAAGGCTCACCTCTCTAGCTCTCTCTGTAATGGCGTTTATAAGAGACGATCTCTCTATCTCTCTGTGTAATAGCGTCCCTTCGAGCCTTCATTACCCTAATCCTCTCGCAGAAATCGTTTCGACGATTTCTGTTCATAACCGTTTATCTATATCTTTCTCTATTATCATGATTCATGGGTTCGAAACATCCTTACCCACCCTCAAAGCATCACTCATCAGGAAGATCTTCTTAGGAGCTAATTGAAGCTTCATTTCGAAGAAAGGTACGGCGTTTCTTACTCCGATTTCTTTATTTTGACTATTTTTAGTCGATTTTCAAATAAAAGCTTGGATTTCTTGATTTTTAGTCTCATAACAATGTTGATTGCTGTCGTAATGTATTCCAAATTTTAGACCGTTTAAAATTTCCGGCTTATTTCTAAAATTTAGACTGCAAATTTGTTTTTAATTATGCATGCAATGAAATCTTTGGGTTTTGATTTTATTCTCGGAGATCTAAGCTTTTAGATAATTTTTTACTCTGGATTTTTTCATTCGTATATTATAAATCTACAATTTGATTTTTTTTATTTTTTCCGTAGTTGAAATAATACTATCTGTATTGAAATTTCTGGTAAATTTTTTGGCAATTTTTTTTATATGGCATGTTATTGTTATCTGTCTGCTTAAAGAACCAAGTCTACCTATCATATTGATTTATTCTGATAATTTTTGCTTATCGCTAAAAATCCTAATATTTTGTTTTTCTAACTTAGGGTTTCCTGTAAAAATTTGTAATTTTTTTCCTAATTCTAATTACTAATATCATTTTTTTTTGTGCGAGGATGAGCTCGGTGACTGGTTTTGAAAAGCAGATAAGAGAATGATACATAAGCAAGCTATTATGGAGATTACAATAGTTGATAAAAATACTAAAATATTAGTTTGCAATTTACCTTTATATGTTGCATTTTGTTTTCTTTTGTTACCTATAATGGTGGACTTTGTAAGTTTCTTTATAGTACTCTAATGTGAGAATGAATTTGAATTGCCCTACTCTAATAATTTTTTAGAGAGTGTTTGTATTTGTTTGAGCAGAATAGTATGAGTTCCACTGTGTGAAAAGTAATAATTTGAATTGTAGATGGATTAATATTCTTGTAAATCATCATTGTGTCAGTGGAACTCAACAGTTTTATCACTTGTTAATAATAGCCTATCTGCCTATGTCATCATACATGTCCTCACAGTCTGTAAACTTTATTTTGTATGAGTTTTATCTTGCAGCCATTATGTTCATTAGTTTTTGTTAATGACCATATCCTTAATTTTTCATATATTTAGATATCACATTGTTTATTTTATTTTTTTTCTAAGTGATGGCACAATATGGTCAGTAAACATTGCCTATTTGCCTATTTGCCTATCTGTATTTGAAATGTGTGTTCTATCAGTTTGGTTTAAGACCATATCTCTCTTTTATTACATATTGAGATATAGCCTATCTGTATTTGAAATGTGTGTTCTATTAGATTCCTTCCACCAAAAAAAAAATAAAAATTTTTCATTGTGATAGTTGAATGCATGGGTGCATAACTTGAAACCTTATGTTCCTTGTTATATTTATATTGAACTAAGTTACCTAATTTTTAAATACTGATAGATTTTACTTGTCAATAAGCAGGTTAATTGAATGTCACAATTTGACACCTAGGTAACCTCAATTTACTAAGTCTCTAACAAAATGAATCCCACAATTACTCAATGTTTATCCTTGTCAAAATACATGAGTTAATTATTTTTTTGGATTTTAATTTGCAGGTACAAATTTACTTGCAATCCTGCTATTATATCTGATGCAATTCCAAAGGTATATGGGGATGCGCTTCATATTAATGTCCTTTAATAAGTTCATATTTTGTAATCCTTTGTTTTATTAGAATATCAGATGGACTTGATGAAAAAAAATTGCCTATTTTCAAGTCTAATGAAAGTTCACTGCTTTTCAATAAGTAGAAGATACAATATTTTATTGCTGATTCACAAACTGAGTTTGGAGGTAATACAAATGTGACTACAGTACAAATCTCTGTCTCAAAATTTACTTACATATATTCTAATGAATATCTAAATAGTAGTAGATATAGAGTGTCTAGAAATGTAATTACTATAGATGAATCTGTGCCATTATGGGTATTCATTATGTGCCTTCTTTCTTTGCATTCATTATGTGCCTTCTTTCTTTGCATAGTCCATTGCATTTACCATTTTGGAAAAGGTACCTGTTCAAAGAATTAAGAAAACTGGAACATAGATAATATAAAATAGTCAGCCAGAAATGAATCCAAAATTAAGTTCCATCAGTCACAACTGTCCTAACCACTTAGCATCACATCGTTTAGATTCAAATGCCACCATTATCAAAATCTATGTTTCAAAACCATACACTACTCAATGTCACATGTGACCTTTTCCAGTTTCACAGACAGTAGCAGAGACACCTCTTGACTGTACCACTGCCATCACCACTCTCTTCCTTAAAGGAATTGTCATTAGTCAACGGACTTTCAGACTCGTCCTCACCATCAAGAAAGAACCCCTAGATTACACCAAAAAATTATTTTTTTGGTTAAGTCTGAAAAATTTAGATCATAATGCAATTTTTTTTATTTAGTTAAGAAGCTAACCTCATCACTGTCACTGTCATCTTCTGGCTTTAGAATTTTTGAACTCAAATCTTTGTTTTGTGAGTCAAAAATTATCTGGACAGTGGATTGCTAGTAGTGCACTATACAGGTAAATTTGTAATGATTCAATAGCTTTCTTGTTGAAGCATTTCCTTCAGTTTTGAATGTCACACAATATCACTGGAAAAACCATCTATTCTCCTGGCTGGGTTAGTTTAAGCTTTGAAAGTACTATGGTATACATTATATTTCTAGAATTCTATTTGTTTTCAAAAGAAAGTTGAAAGAGGATACAAAGGTTCACCTTAATCTTGCAGCAACTGTCTTCTTCCTTGTGAATGATTCCCCAACAGGCCGAATGCAAAAAAATTAAATGAAGTTTAAAGCCATCACAACAGGTATTATTTCATGATACCTTTAGATTCTTTCTCTTGCACCCATGGTAGTCTATCCCTTCAACATTTTCATTCCTCTTTCCTCTGTTAAACATACAACTACATAATTCATAGACTAAATGCAAAATAAAGTGACTTTTCATCTAAAAGAGAACGGTCCAAAAACTAATAAACCAAATTAGATTTTTTCCTTCACTCTATCTTCTGTTAGTTTCGCACGACATCACAAATCGTGAATAGAAAAAAAAATGTTATTATCAAATGAGTCATTATCTTCTCCTATTATCATCTTTGAAATATTTGCCAGAATATATGTTCACTAAAAATAACAGTAATAAAGATTTTTTCAGATTATCTAAAGCAATTAATACAAATATATATATATATATATATATATATATATATATATATATATATATATATATATATATATATATATATATATATATATATATATATATATATATATATAAAAGAATCAATTTACCTATCATCAAGAAAGAGGCTTCTTTACTTTTGATTGATTGTCCTCTAACTTCTGGCACTTTGGAGCTCCTTACTAATCTAACGCTGATTTGCTTGGCAGAAACATATTGAGAATGCATATTATACAGGGGTTTACTTCTTCACAATAATCTGGCCGAGGCTGTGATTTTACCTGATTTGAGTGCTTTATATAGAGGTTGGATTATTCTGGGCTTTTAGAATAAAGAAGAGGAAAGCTTTGGAACAATAAAAAGGCATGATTACATTTTTCTTCAAAAAGACCTCTCATAAAGGTTGTGTTCAATTAGATTTCAAATACTTCAGATTTGTAATTAAAGTATGCAACGATTCTGTTTTCTAGATTTATTATTGTGGTTCTCGATGTTTACATGCATAGGTAATACAAAGAACTAACAAACTTAATATAAAAAATTATTAATGAATTAGGCTAAATCTAATCAGTGGCTGTAATTGAATATGAACAGCATTAATTATCGTGTAAATTAACATTTCTCTTAAACGGCATCGTTTTCATTGGGCGGGAAAA